CCGAGTAGGTGCCTGAATTAAGTACTCCCTTCTATCATATAAATCATGTAAATCGCACTCCTTCTCCCAACTCATCCTGTAGTAATCTTGCCCCAATGTTATCGGAAGCCTAAAATTGATTTACGGCTTGAAGTGCGAGTTTGAGGATGTGAAATACCACTGAGTTCTCTATCTGAGCTGCATGAAGCACCATACAAACGAACCAGTTCGTTTCTTTCTTGAAATGCGAATTTAAGAAATAAGACTCTCGCACCAAATCCTTTCTTATCCAATATGGGGTTGTTCGAAAACCAGCTCTCTTCGAAAGATTATTTATCGCCTCCCTCTAAATCGTAGTCTGACTCGACTTTTACAGCATTCTCAGAAGAAATGAACGATGCACAATTTGTAAGACACCAGATTTGTTCAGGAATTGTGCGAAATCTCATGCTTAATGGAGGAGTTTCAAAAAATTCAGTCTTGTCGATTCAGATCTCTTCTAAATCTTAAAGTATTATTTCGCCTATCAGAAATGAGACGGGCTGCTATCTCTTTGTACAGGAAAAGTATCAAACATACCCTGCATTTGTTGGCGCGGCAGTTCCGACAGCTTTCCAATCTGCATGGGTGCAATCGGTAGTGAGATTTGGCCGGACTTGGAGGTTGATGGGCAGTTAGAAATGGGGCTATAAGTGGGGTAACTGTACTTACAACCTATATTAGGGGGTTTATAACCCCACTTATGACTACCCATGAACCTCCAAGTAGGTTGCCCAAGAATGGCCGAGCTGTCTAGATAATGCTTATTTTTTTTTTAAGCTTGGCAGGAGCATAGTCTGCGTTTGACTGCTTTGCAACCAAACCGCCTCCGGTTGGAGTGCAGATTTCTGGAAGGACACCTTTCGCCGAAACAGCAAGCCCCCTGGATGAGAACGCAAGCTCCCAAGACTTCGCAACAGTTTGCCTATTACCCGTTGGCCACACTCCCAGTACAACAGAAAGAAAAATACAAGATCAACCTCGAGCCCGAGCTCTGATCGAACGTGCTGGGAGTTTCTGAAAATGGGGGACCCTAATATAGTACCCTAAATAGTACACCCTGGAAAAGTGACTATAAGGATTATACTAGGGCCCTATTATATTCCTTTTATGTCACTATTACCGGGTGGGTGCCCCTTGTAAAGAATAAGGTTCTGGGGTACATTGTACGATAATCATAATAAGGAACCCCCCCAAAAACAACTAGTTTTGATAATTACTTAGGCCCCCTCTAGTAAAAAGATGCCAGGAGCTCCGAAGCCTACGCCCTTGCTCTCAGAGGCTCCCTTCGTTGTATGCTGGGAGCCATCCGAAGTAGCAACCGAGTCGATGAGCAAGCGATAATGGCTGTTGACGGTTTTGGAGGAGGAAGCCGCTTGGAGATAGAGGTGAAAACAGAGCCAAACCCCAAGAAGATGCGAGGCTGGTAGTCATGAGGGTAATTGATATTGGAGACTGATGATATCACTAGCATGACCAGATGCACTTGATTAGCTCGTGCAGTTGTCCCATTGCTAGTCACTGTAGCAGTACTACTAGTTGTGAAATGACCGTGATCGATGTAACCTTTCGGCTTTGGAAGCAGTCGAGTTCACCTTCAACGGAGACCTTCAACCCGATAGCAAACCCCGAAACCCTAAACCCCGAACTCTCAGCCACCAAAAAGCAAGGTGACCCAGTCTTCGGCCCTTCGGCAGCACACGGGCCACAAATATACGGGCTTGAATCGTTGGAATAGGGTTTTGGGGTATATTCTGCTCCGTTTTCGGGACCTACAAGGGGAGATGATAGGTTGAGAAAGGAGGCCGCAACAATTAGAAGAATAAGTTGGTTTGGGCTATGTAATTGCCGCGCGGTTACATTCCGGAACTTCAGAATACTGCCGCTAATTATTCAAGCCCCAAACCCTAAACCCCACTATTCAAGCCCGTATGCGGGGAGTGTCCGAAAATAGGGGCACCCCAAGTAGTAGGATCCGTTTTAAATGTTGATAAACACTCCAAAATAAGGTACCCCCTCATTTTCGGAAACTCCCACATTCGGATTCTTTGAGAAATGGTCGGGCCCGTCTTCGACAGAGGCCCAAGGGAGGCTCAAGCTCAAGCCTCAGTCGTTTTCGGGCAAGCCTATTTAGGGCTGTACGGATCAGGGTTTGGGGCTTAGGGATCAGGGTTTAGGGCTGTAAGGATCAAGGTTTCAAAATTCGCACACTCGCTAGACGAGGGCAGGGTTTAGGGTTCTAGGGTTCACGCCTTTAAACCGAATCGAGTTTCGGGGTATGGTTTACTATGATTACATAAGGACTATAGTATGAGGCGATATTGCTTTCTATTGTTCCGACAGAGGTCTAGGAAGAATCTGGAATGCCTCCGATACTTCACGGAGGTCTACTCTGCTAGAGTTGGGGAGTTCAAGTCATCGTTGCAAGCAGCTCGAGCTCGGACGAGCCAGGTTCACGGAAGCTGCGCTCAATAGCCGGTGACACTCCTGATGAGTCTCCGTACCCTTCCCGGACCCGGACGAGCCTCGGCAAATGGGTCGGCGAGAATGACAACAACAAAGGCCATAGAGAGGGTTTCGGGTTCACTTCCCTCTCTTCAGGGACCCTATTTCCCTTTACTTACCAGTCAATAGGTTCAAAGTGTATGTAGGATTTGGGGTTCAGGGGAGGATCTGCAGTTGGGTTTAAAATTTGAGACTGCTCAGGAACCCCCCAAGATGTAAACCCTCAACCCCAGACCTCAAACCCTAAACCTTCAATCTTACACCTTAACCTTTACACCCGACACCTCGATATCCCGATCTGCTTTCCGAGCCTGCTGGTTCTCTGCATGCTCCTCTAAGCCCTCCTTCACAGCCTTTTTCACAAGCTCTTCGATTTCTTCGATCCTTTCGGCAACCGCTTCCTCTGGCTGCTCGGCCTCAGACTTTTGATCTTCTCCGGCACTTTCGGCCAGCGCTTCCAAGCGATCTTCTGCAGCTTGCCGGTTCTTTTGCTCTTCGCTCACCTTTGCAGCAGCCTCTTTGGCATCTGCAGCTTCCTGCTTCATCCGTTCTTCTTTGTCCTTTGCAGCCACCTTTGCAGCCTGAGTGGCTTCCCGCTCCTTTTGCTCCTTGTTGAACTTTGCGGCTTCTTCGGCTGCCTTTGCAGCTTCGAGCTTGCTTTGCTGTTTCTGATCCCGTACATTGGCTAAGGCATGTTCTGCGGCCTCTCGCTGCTTACGGCATTCCTCAATGTTCAAGGCAGCCTTCTCAGCTTCTGCCGCTGCCTTCTTTCGTCGATCTTCCTCTTTTCTCGCAGCCTTCTCTGCATCCTCTGCAGCTTGCCGTTTCCATCCCTCCTCCTCAGCCTTCACAGCATGCTCTTGAACCTGTGCAGCTTCCCGCTTCTTTCGCTCGCTCTCTACTTTGGCAGAAGCCTTTGCAGCGTCCGCTGCCTCCCTCTTCTTCCGATCTTTTTCTTCCCTTGCGGCAGCCTTTGCATCCTCCGCGGCTTGTCGCTGCCATTCCTTCTCCTTCACCTTTGCAGCTTCCTCCTCAGCCTGCGCAGCTTCACGCTTTCGTCGCAGATCCTCAACGATAGCGGCAAGCTCTGCAGCCTGTTCTGCGACATCCTTCCTGGGTTGTTCGTTGGTCTTCTTTAAGAGTCATAGTAGTTGCTGCTTCTCATTCATACAACTTACTTAAAAGTCTATAAACATGTGCGTCTATACATGTGAAACGTAGATAACTATATATATATATATGTATATGTATATGTATATGTGTACCTATACGTATACATACATTTGTTAGACACAGCATACTCGAATCAGACACTGTTTTCACAAATGGCCAAGCTTCTGTCGTTCTGCCTCAGCCTCGGCAGCATGCTCCGCAGCTTTGGCGGCTGCGACCTGTTGCTGCTCTTGCTGAGCCCTCGCATCCTTCTCCGCCTTTTCGGCGGCTTCGCGACATTGCTGCTGTTCCTCTACCCTCTTTGCAAACTCTTTCGCCTTTTCGTTCTCCCTGCGTCTTCGCTCTTCCTCGTCCTTGGCGGCCGCCTCTGTAGCCTTTGCAGCTTCCCTCTCCAGTTGCTCTGCATGGCTTCTTGCCGCCTTCTCTGCAGCTTGTGCATCGTCTCGCTGTTGCCGCAGACTCTTAAGTTCTGCAGCAAAGCATTTTTCTTCACACTCTACAAGAGTCAGACTCTCAGTCGTAGGCTGTGCAGGAGGAAGCAAGGGCGGCTGGTCTGATGGCTGTGTCGCTGGAGGCACCTTGGATGAAGGCTCTGTCGGTGGAGGAATAAGCTCCTCCCGTACAGCCGCAGCTGATTCTTGTTCGTGTCTTAGGTCCTCCAGCTGCGCGAAAAGGGTTCCAGCCGTGCAGGCTAAGCCTTCTAACTTCTTCAGCCTTTCCTCAGCCAGTGTCCGTGCCTCTGCAGCTCCATCTTCCCGCGTCCGCTGCCCAAGCGACGGGCGCAGGGCGCAGGAATCCCAAACAGGAGGGCAACTCTCGTCGTAGCTGTGGCTCCCAGTTAGAGGGCCAGGAACTCCTGGCTGAAACCACACCATTAATAGCAACCAGCCATATTATATTGTATCAAAAAAGCAGCTACCCTGTACACCGACTCCAAGCTCGCAAACCGCCCATCGAACTTATCTACTAGCGACACGAATTCCCGGGAGGCCTCGTCTTGCAGCCGACGGCGACTGTGGAAGGTGGCCAATGCTTCGAAGATGTTCATCCCGGCCTTTGGCGAGTTCCGACAAGCAGCCCTGGCTGTGGCTGCGAGGCAGCCCTCCTCGGGCAGCCCTGCCCCGGAGTGACGCCAGTGGCGAGGTCCCCCCTGTGGGGTTTAGGCGGTTTGGGGTTTAGGATTCAAGGAGTTTAGGGTTCAGGGTTTAGGGACTACCGTGATATCCCTCCTACGAAAGCGCACTCTACCGCACCCTTTTCCATTCTGCAAGGCCGCTATCCTAAACCCTACAAGCCGTCTGGCTAAAGGCAGAATCCAATCACCTTCCACCGAATCTTGCAACGCCCCTTTCCTGTGGAGCTCCGTGGAAACAGCGATCGCGAGGGGGATGGCTCAGACTGCATCTCCCAGTCTTGCTGCAACCTTTTTAGGAGTTTAGGGTTTAGGGGTTTAAGGTTTCGGCGCTCACACTCGGAGGGTTTAAGGTTTAGGGGTCTAGAGTTTAGGGGTTCAGGGTTGAGGGGTTTCGGGTTTAGGGGTTCTGGCAAGAGATCGAAGCAAATTGGGTTCTTGACGCTTACAGGGTTTATAAGCTTTCCGAAGGGTGATGACGAATTTAAGGCTTGGGGCTGGTTGGCATGATTGCAGCTGCGGCAATGTTAGTCATCATGAACCCCAAACCCTCATGAACCCCAATCGCCCTACCTCGAAGCCCGCGCCCTGCTAAACCCTGCGAACCCCCATAGAGCCCTATACGAAGCCCTCAAACTGCAGAGTCACCGCCGCTGGCGTGCCATGTCCACGACACGCTGCCGCATCTCACTGCCGTGCCAGTATCCAGGGAATGTCAGTTGACTCTCGGCCTTTGCTGTTAGAAGTTCGGTTTTTAAGGGTTTAGGTTAGTACAAGGTTGAAATACCCTAAGCCGGGTTTCGTAAGGGCTCAAACGGGATTTACAATGGTTGAAAAGGTTCGTATAAATTTTAGGGGTTTCAGGCGTCTTCAAACTCTACGCTTATAAGCCAGACATGAAGGTCGGGCGAGATTTCGTCTGGCCGCTTCATACAGGCATTGTCCTCCGGTATCTTCATCTTGTGCGTGGTACAGGTACCCTAAACCCTAAACCCGAGTTTGCGGTCTTCTAGGCATGGACTTTTCCCAGTCTGATCAGTTGTAGAACCTGCAAGAGTCCTTGATCCTAGCTTCCCGAGCCTGGGAACATCCGTAAACCTAAAATGCCACACTTCCCAGCACCCCAAAGCCTTTACTTCTGGGCCAGAGTTCCGTGGCAACCGGTGCAGGCTCACACCAGGTCATTCGCCCAGTAGCATACCGCAAGCGGTTGTTGTCCGCTTGAAGTCGTGCAATCTCCTCCTGGCACACGGGGGGGGAGGAATGTGTGGGAGCGGATGGGTGTTGTACCCGATTTCTGGCACGAGCCTCCATGCTACTCTTCGTCTTGCTTGATTCCGTGTTGATCCTGTTACAAGTTGCTGTTCTGCCGTCCCAGTCATCTGCACTGCTGTGATCTTTGCTGTCTTTGCTGCTTTACAGTGCGGTGTTTACGACGACTTTCGCAACGGCTGTGGTCAGTTGTTACTGGTCTACTACGAAGAGTACTTCTGCTACTGCTGCGGCTATTACTACTGCTGTTGCTACGGCGACTACTGCTGCGGCCTCTCTCTCTTGCTTTACTAGTTGCTTGTACTGCAGCTCCTGCAACTACTACCACTACCACTACCCCTGCCACTGTTCCAACCCCAAGCAAGTACTCCACGATGCATCGCTGTCATTTGCGTGGAGCCACGCCAAAGTACAAAGACCTGACCGTGATACTGAGAGGTGTCAGAGGACCGAATCATGGACAGCTTTGGGCAATCTATGCTTTCACCGGCAACACTGATTACCGGCAAAAGCTTGGTAGGTTTTCTCATCGTCACCACTATTTATTGCCTGCTCATGTTGAACTGTTGAGACTGAGACTAGATGCTAGCAGACAGTCATGCAACAATCCGTCTCCTGCGCCTCAGCGATTCTGTTCTCGTAAGCATCCTGACATCTTGCTTGGGTTTTGGCCAGAAGCGAGTTTGAGAGGACTAAGAGCTAGAGCCTGGTGAGCTTGGACGAGACTTCAATCCGAAACCCGAGAACGCCTTCAGCTGCAGTGGTTCGGAGATGACAGTGTTCAAGGAGTCGGGGATGCCAGAAACGTTCGTAAGCATGCCAAGGCTCATCGACCTCATGCGTATTCATCTGGCTTTCATCCGGTAGTATGCTCCACTAGACGGAACATCCGAATCCCACCAATGCATTTCCTACGGCAAAGTGGTTTCGGTGTTGTCCTCCAGCTGAGCGAGTCGATGGTGTCCGGAAACTTCCTGCCGGTCCGGAGTGGCAGCATGTTGGGGATTGTCGGGCGTTTGGGCTTTTGGGTGGTTTAGGGTCTTCAAGATTTGCCAGGTTTGCAGCAAAGGTACAGGAAATCAATATCAGTCAGGGGATCTGTGACTTTTGGGTCTGAGGTGTGTTTCTGCCTCCCACCCAGCTGAACTAAGTCGCACTGCAGGAACTCGCCAGAACTCACTCGAAAAGGGAGAACCCGAGGCAAGTTGTGAGCTCTGAACAGAGAAGCCCAAAAGCAAGTCCGAACCACAGAAATGTCAGACCTCACAACTCCGTCTGATTCCCGAAACCCAACAGCCTCGGAGGAAAGGAGCTGGACGACCATCCCCAACAAGCCCAACGACAACCAGCGACCCTCCAACATCCTTCAAGGCGGCTAGTATGTACAACCCACACGGTGTTGAGGTGCTGGGTTTCGGAAGTGATAGCAGGTCGATGCTAAGCCTGCATCGGAAAGCGTCCAGGCTTGAAATATTGCATTGTGCAACGAACGAAGGCTGGCAATCAGTAGGGTGGCCTTTAAAATCCGAGCCTTGCAAATTCTATCGAGAGTGAGCCCTATGCGAAGGCCAAGAGTCTTCATATGCAAGCCTCCCCAGCTCTGAACCTGCACCATGAATGGCGAACTCGAACCTGAAACCACTAAAAGTGTTTCGAGCTTCGGGCCCAGTACCCAAAAGTGTAAAAATTCAAACCCCGCATTACTAGACTAGACCATGCGCTAAAATTTCCCAGAACCCTTTACAACGACTCTGTTGCAGCGTAGCCCGATGAACCTTGAGATTTCCCTGCTTCTGAGACGTACAGCGTCAGTCTTAAGAAGGCGACCCAGCAATTAGCAACAAAAAGCGGCAGCAGTCCAAAATTGGTGGAACCCTATAGACCCTATAAACCTTTTCGCATCCGGGCCTCTTGCAGTCTTGCCGGGGAAAAAGCGAGTTAAGCAGCACCCTAATCAACCCTACCTGGGTTTTTCTACTAAGCACCGAAGAAATGAGGATGTTATGGGAGTTTCCGAGAATAGGGACCCTAATCTTGTACCCTAAATAGCAGGATCCTGATTATAAGGACCCCAAACTAAAGTACTCCTTGTTTTCGGAAACTTTCTTATGGTAGTTAAAGTAATGAATCATACCCTAAACCCAAAGCCCTAAACCTTAAACCCATGAAAAACCAGAAGTTTGCTCCAGCCTCGGTCTCAGCTGCAGCCTTCACATCGGAATCCCTGCGGCGGCTGCAAAAGACTTCCCGGCTTTCAAAACTCGTGCTCGAGGGCGTGTGCGTGGTTTATCGGAGTTGGGTTTGGGGTTGAGAGTTCAGGGACTTAGATGGCTTGTCTGTTACCTTGCGCTGAGGCTTCGGGTGCCGGGTTTTGGAGGAATCTTGCACGTCATCCTTTCACAGCTTCGGCATCGGGACAGTTCTGGAGTACTGCCCTATGTTGGCCAAAGGGCCTCACCCATGGGATTTTCGCGGACAGCTCTTTTCCCAAGCAGCCCGATGCTGCTTCAGATGCAGATGAGTTCTGATTGCTTACAAAATGAGTACCAAAGCTGTGTCGGAGTAGTTTCTGGACTCCCGAAGTCTGGAAATTCACCAACAAATTGCGAACAAATAGGTATCTTCTGACCTTTGAGTACCAGTAGCATGTCTCTGATGTGCCCACTATTAAATCATCATGATTGGTTGACTCCCATGCATTTGGCTCTTGGAAGCTGGTCTCGAAGGGGATTCGAGAGCAAAGTCAGATGGGCCTCCAATTCCGGCAACTGACATTCGAAGCACAATCCGATCTTTTGGGGTTTACGCTCGTGCAACTCGGACCCTGGCGGATTTTCTGGGGTTTCGAGTTTAGGGTGTCGGGTTCCAGAAACGAAGCTCAATCTGGGCAGTTCAGCAACTTCCAACACATCTGCGCCCTAAACCCTAAACCCTATAGACCCTAAACCGGGCCTGATCACGAACCGCAGAGTCATGACGAGGCGGAGCGCGGCCGCTCCCTGGAGCCGAAAGGATTGAAGAAACAAGATTTCAGGTGCCGCGAGGAAAACAGCTAATAAGGGCCTCAATGAATAGCATAGGGTTGGGGGGCCCATTATACTATAGTTATAATAAAGGAACCCCCAAAATAGTATTGGTAATTATGGAATCAACTGACCCGAATCAAAAAGATCGAACAGGAGTACGGGATGTAGATTACGCGTAGCATATCATGCATGTCGACAATGCAGACTGCAGTCTCCAGCTTCTGTATTTTGGGACTGCTGCCAGCTCGAGAAGATTTTTTGACGATCAGCGATTGAGTTTGTTTGGAGTCAAGGCCCTAAACCCTAGCCCTCAGCTTCAGATGCGGCCTGCGCAGGCAACTGCCCGGCGCTTGCGGGCGCAAGAAGACAGACATGCGAAAGTTGGAGGCTGCAAAGCTTGTTTTAAGGTCACCTCTTTGTTGTGCTTGCCTTTTTTTAGGGGGGGTCGTGTGGGATGGTGAGGGCCGCGGGTCTCTAGACCTGAAGCCGTCGGGAGCCATAAAAATGTAAAATGCTACCCAACTGTGACAAAGGTTCCTTCTTAGGGTTTAGCAGTTACGGTTTGGTTGAGGATGCTTCCCTCGGAGTCTTGGAGGGCTTCTGGTGGAAAACTTGGAAGGCTTCGCTCGCTTGAACCTGTAGGAGTTCCCAAGTTCATTCATGATCCAGGCATTCGGGGTTTAGATCGTCTGGGAGCATGTCGGGGTCGCAAATCAGCTCCAAAACGGAGTGTGCAGCTTCGTGGGAGTCGGCGCGACGCGGCTCCGCAGAATAGGAGAACAAAGACAGCCATGCTGTGGCGTGATTCTCCAATTCTCAGGCAGAGTGTTGGGTTACGCTCCAAATCTAAACGGACCATTGCTACAAGTTGGGACATGAATGATACATGATGACGCTACTTGCTGAAATTCCTGTCTATGTCACCGTCAAAGGCGTCTTTCGTGGCATCGGGTTCGGTCAGAGTTGTATCTCGATGATCGCACCCCTGTGCCTCAGGACTGAACATACACTGTCCAACCTTGCAACTACAAGTAGAGTTTCCAAACCCCAAGCTCTACATCCCTATTCCCCATTCCCAGGCTCTTTACTGTTTCTTCAAGACGTACATCTGTACTGCCTGTGCGCCATATTCCTTACCTATCCCTTCCAACCTGGGCAACAAAACGGTTCTTTTCACACCTCTGGTGTGCTTCTTGCAGGGTCTCGGCTGCTTTGCAGCCACACAACCACATGGTCAGGTTTCGCTTCTTTCTCCTTGCGGAGTGACTCCTCAACGCTCGACGGTTAACACGTCATAAACCTTGGCTTTTCCCCCTACTCTCTCGGTCCTTAGCGTTGTGTATGTTGTGTCGTACTCGCTCTCTCTGTCTCTCTCTCTCTTCCTCACTCCTTTCCGCATCTTCTCTGGAACTAGTGTTGGTTCAAACTCCAAGACTAGAGTTAAGACTTTGCAACTACACGAACCCCACCATGCCCGATATCCGTGAGAAGGAAACATGAGCTCCTCATCGCCACAACCGATACGAAACACCTTCGAAGTCTGCTCCACTTAGACCTCATGGCACTAAGAACAGGCTACTGAACAACTAGAAAGCTCTTACCTTTCATTGAACTAGCCAACCGCGGATGAAACGAATCCCGGACCGTCGGGACCTGAACATCACCAGCATCACCAGAACCTAAAACGCTCGCGGCTTTGCAGGGCTTGCACAGGGGTCTTTGCTATGAGCCTGGGCATTTTTTAGAACCCTGGGTCGTTCAATGACTCGAAACATTCCCTACAGTGAGTGTAGGAGTCTACACCTCTCTCTGCACATAATACCCGCTGAACCTTTGGTGGGGGTCGGTACTACTGCGTGCCTAGATGGGACAGAAGTACAGGTTTTTCTACATCCGGGCTTGACAACAGCGAAACTGGGATTCTCGGCCGGCCTAATTCAAGACGCAACACTTACAACGAGAACAAATGTCAAATCAAAACAATGCCACTGTGATCGGGCAGCTGTCCAGACCATCCAAAAAGCAAGTGAGCATTTCATCAGTTGTCGGCTGTTTGATCGGAAGTATTAGCTGTTGACAATGCTAGCAATATATATATATATATACACACAAATTTTTGCATATACATATACATATGTATATATACTCAAGAGCCCCTCGTGCCGCTAAGCCATCAAAGCTCTGAGCTGCCCCGGGCCAGTTCCTTTCCCTCGTCTTCGACGAGAACCCGAAGTCCAAGGTGCCCCCTCTGCTCTTTACAAGGTTTAGGGTTTAGGGTTTACAAGCGGCCTCTTCGAAAATTGTCATGTACTGGCCGAACATCTTACGAACTGCACTGAGGGAGCTTGATGGAAGCTTGCAGAGTGCAAGGCCCTATTCAGCGACCGTAATGCTGAAGCCCACTTTCCATGCACTCGCATTGGTCAGTCTCGTCTGACAGTCCTGCACCGGGACGACGCGGCACATATCTACACAAATATGGTTTAGAACAGCTCAAAATTCGCTGCACTGTTGCCATCCTGGTGTACCCTGACAATAGCACTTAATAATGGAGTCTGACATACACGACGTATGAGCATACCACACAGCTCAGCCCTTTTCATGAAAAGTGGGTCGTAAGGCTGATCACCATACTGAACAAGTTCAGAAGCACAGGAAGACTGTGTCCTCTTAAACAAGTAGTTACTACTGCTACAGTGCAGAAATTAGCAGCTCCAACCCGACATCATCACCATCCTACTCCTCATAGGTTCCATCTGTCATCATGGGCCGATAACGGGTAATAACACAGATCCTTACCTTTACATCAGAGCAGTGGTCAACAAAAAGTACACGGAGCCCCTTACGAAGTCGGCCCCATCCCCCCTGCATCCCTCGGAAGAACAGGCAATATCCTTACGCCCTGTTTATCTCCAGGTTCCAGGAAAGTGGTACATGTTTACCTGGACATTCTGCAAACAGTACATGACGACAAACATGCGTGAGAAGCGATGACGGTTGTTCTGCCACTGTTTTGCCAAAGTTTCGCAATACGACGAAAGCAAAGCAAGCAACTTAACGCAGTAGTTGGGTACCCCTTATGAAACGCTCAAGTCACAAGTCAACAAAAGCTGCTCCTCTGCTACGACAACTGCGGCTTCGGCTGTTGCCCGCTTCATCCTCTCTTCGTAGCAGATTGCGGCCGCATCTGCTGCTTCTCTGCTCTTTAACTCTGCTTCTTGCGTGGCGGCTGCCTCCGCGGCCTGTGCGGCTTCTCTTCTATGTTGCTCATGTTCAACCCTGAGAGAAAACTCAGCTGCGGATTCTACCTCTCGTTGCCTTCGCTCCTCCTCAATCTTGGCAGCTGCCTCGGCTGCGTCTGCAGCTTCCTTCTTTCGTCGTTCCTCTTCAGCCTTGGCTGCAGCTTCTGCTGCCTCCGCCGCTTCCCGCTGTTCCCGTGCAGCCGCCGCTGCAGCTTCTGCCGCTTCCTGACTTCGTTGCTCACGTTCGACCCTGAGAGAAAACTCTTCTGCGAGTTGAGCATCTCGTTGCTTCCGCTCCTCCTGAGCCCTAGCAGCTGCCTCTGCCGCCGCTGCGGCTTCCTTCTTCTGCCGCTCCTCCTCAGTTCTGGCCGCAGCTTCTGCTGCCTCTGCCGCTTCCCGCTTCTGCCTGGCAGCCGCCTCTTCAGCCTCTGCAGCTTCCCGACTTTTCCGCTCACGCTCAACTCTGAGAGAGAGCTCTGCAGCCTGTTGACTTTCTTGTTGTCGTCGCTCCTCCTCAAGCTTGGCAGCTGCCTCGGCTGCCTCCGTGGCTTCCTTCTTTCGTCGCTCCTCCTCAATCCTGGCCGCAGCTTCTGCTACCTCCGCTGCTTTATGCTGTTCCTGAGCAGCCGCCTCTGCAGCTGCTGCAGCTTCCTTCTTCCTTCGCTCGGCTTCAACCTTGACAGCAGCCTCCACTGCTTCTGCAATTTCTCTCTTTTTCCGCTCCTCCTCGCTCCTGGCAGCTTGCATGGCCGCCTCTACGGCTTCCCTCTTCTTTCGCTCCTCCCCAGCCCTGGCTACTGCCTCCGCAGCCTCGGCGGCCTCCCTCTTCAACCGCTCCTCCCGCATCTTTGCAGCCGCCTCGGCCGCCTCCGCTGCTTTGATGCTTCGCCGGTCTTCGGCCGCTCTAAGTGCAGCTCTGGCTTCCTCTGCCGCCCTAAGCTCTGCAGCCCTCGCTGCAACCTTCGCAGCCTCCGCCGCTGCCTGCTCAGCTCTTGCAGCATCTGCGGATGCCAAGAACTCCTGCACTCGTCTAGCTTCTGCCCGCATGGCTTCTTCATTCGCCTCGCAAGACAAAAACAGTCGGGTACAGAGACGACTCGCCGGGTAGAACTTGACATGCCAACCCAATAAACCTACGCCTCCGATTCGAAAGGCCTGGCCCGAAGGCCCAAGCACTCGTTCTAAACCCGGAAGCTTCAAGTCCAGTACCCTTGAAGCTTATTGCAATGACATCCGTAAGAGTATGCCAAGCTGTAAGCGGGCTGTAAGCTTTACACCCAGGATCACTCAAGGTTCGCTCAGCTTTTGAAGGGTGGTTTGTGGTGACAACGCCTGGTGTGCGTCCTGTACGTCCTCTCACTTTTCTGGGGTGGGGGGGGAGTGGGGGGGGCTAATTCCGGCCAGCCCCGACCTGTAAGTCCCAGAACTGCGCACTTCTGTCGCAGGCAGGGCCAAGCTCTAGTTCTGATCGAAGCCATGTTTCCTTAGGGTCATATGCCCAACACACCGGTAATTCCGGTGTGTTCGGCACTTGCTACAACCCACGTCGCCCAAACCATCCATGGGTGGTCCATGTTATTGACGCAGAGCATCCGTAGGTCAACCATGTTAACGTCCACTCAGACCAGATCTCAATGACGCAGAGCATCCACGGGTCAACCATATTAACGTCCACTCAGACCAAGTTTGCGCAGCGCGGTGCTCGCAAAAGTGGCTTTTACTGCAGCGCCATCACCTTTTTCGCTAAAACGATCGACCTGTCACAGGGATTCTCCGCCTTTCCTAGCACAACTTTTTAGTCATAATACACGTTTGCCCTAGGTTTTAGCACATTGCCTGTTCCAGCGGTCACGTACCAGGCGCTGTTACCTGGTTTGTGGCTTTTGGGGGTTGCTCTTGAGGGCTCGAAAAGCATAGAGCGCAGGAGTCCAGGAGGCGCAGGGCGCAGGGCCCGACATCACCCAAAACCACACTGCTGTGTCGGGCCTTGCTTCGCAACCGCAGACTACAAAGCCTCCGAACGAGTTTTATGTACGGATGTATATGCCGGTAAGTGTTTCTTGACCCTCGTCTTGGAGCTCCGAAGTGGCTCCAAAAGCCTCCTCCACCCTCTTGGGTTGATGGATGGGGGCCTTAATATTCGGCAGAGGGCTTTGACTGGACGTGTGGGCGAGTAAAGCAGAATGGGGTTGTGGGTAACAAGCCTGAACAAGCAACCCTACGCGCCAGACCCCTAAACCCGAAACACCAGGCTGCATGTTTTCCTGATTCCTGATGTTAAAAGTCCCTATCCGGGAGCCTGAAGAACCGCGGAGCTCCAAGTGCTCGACATCAAAGGTTGAAAACTTTATGGGTTCTATGTGGATCTGTCTGACAAGGACGTCAGTGTGGGGTTAAACGACAAGTTCAGAGCGGACCTGGTCGACCGTCCGCTGCAACAGCGTCACCACTCGCATGTCACCTGGACGTAGGGCCTTTAAGAGAGCTTTGGGATTACGACATCAGGGGGCAAAAACCAGATGAGTTCTGCTCACGTTCTCCCGGTGTAGGTTGAAAGCTTTAGGATGCTGTTGACAGGACTTTTTGCTTCTGTTGCAACTCATCCGACTACACTTCATTCGTTGTTCCTCGACTCCGAGTTCTGAGCCTACTCGTGGAATCAGCGCTACGGCCGTGGTCAAACACGAGAACTGCCCAACCGTGATGGATCTCTATTCAAGCGAGAAAGTTGCTATCACCGGTCGTATGGCATCTATGCGACTATTGTGGTTTGGGCAGATCCACAACACAACAAGGAAGCATGGAAATGTCCATGCCAGCTCCGAGAAGCAAATACACCAGCTTCTAAAGATTAGTAGACCCTAAGAGTTTCCTGTATCCCCAAACCCTACAAAATAGTAGGTGATGACCCCTTAATTCGATGGTCTAACCCTCAAAACGGTAGGTTTTTGGAGGTTAGGCTAAGGTTAAGGTTGTGGGGCTCTCTAGACAGACCTGGCCTTTCTGGACGGCGTAGTGCAGTGCCGACCGACCAAAGCAGTCCACCTGCGCTCAAAGGGATACACAATTTTGGTAATTTCCGAAAATTAGGGGTACCTTGTTTCGATGTCCTACTATTTAGGGTACCATACTAGGGTCCCCTATTTTCGGAAGCTCCCAGATGTAGGGGAGCTTGTCAGGCTTTGGATGATCTCACACCTTCCAGACTACGCATGCTCCAAAGTAAGGCGCCAGCACTAAGAGTCCTCACACCAAAACAACTACGACATGGCGCCTGGACATCAATGTGCATGAAGAAAGCAGTGCGTAACTCAACGCAAACAGGTCCCCAGCGCTGTCTGAGGGTTGGATTCTGCACAATCCTGTTGCTGCCGGCACCGCTGCTACGCTTGCGCTCCTTGCAGCTATTGTTGTTGCGGCTGGTGTCGCCGTGCTGCGTTGCGATCTGCGATGCGGCTTTTTCTTTTCCTGTGTTGCGGCGTTATACTACCCTGTGCTGCTGCCGGTGTTTTTGGGGCTTGCTGGGCGCACTGTTGCTGATTACCTTTTTGCTTTGTGCTCTGGGTGTGACTAGTTTTCATCGCAAGCCCGCCTCAGTAGCGCTGCACTTCATCTCCAGCAACAGCCTCACAATCTCCAGCTTCTCTTCTTCCTTGTTGTTGCCCATGGCGTGGAAGAGTGCATTGCGGCCCTGTTTATCCTGCCACATCAGGTCGGGCCAGAATATGCAGACTCTGAGGCTTCGAAGCCTGAAGACTCTCACCCTCTATCACCCAGCCAGCACCTGCCGCAGAAACTCCCAATCGAACAAAACCCGGTAAGCTGTTAGAGTCCTGCACCAGACCCGAAAGCCTAGAGTCCTAGAGTCCTAAAACCCCACTGTTTCTTTGCAAAACGATGGCCTTCAGGAAGGTCAGAGCCGGGCTGAAGCAAAGCAGGTCACGCACGATCTCCGCACTGCTGGTGCATGCCTGAACTTATCAGTGGACATCAGGCGAGGAAAGGGGCCTTGCTAATTTACCCCATCCCAAAGCCGATACCCGAAACCCTAAGCCCTTTTTTGCACAGACTTGTATGTGCCTGCCCTGCCTGGATGCCGGAAACCCTTCTGCAACTGGCTTGCAACGTCATTGTGGAAACCCTAAACCCTAAACCAGAAACAAAAACAAAAACATCGTGGGAAGGGCATCACAACCACCCGACTTTGGGCTGGCCGGACCTTTGGCCCTGCTGTCAAGGACCGAAAGCATCGTGTGTGGGTTGCTTGTGCTGTTCTTTCTGCTGACTATCTGGGACAGACCGTAAAGTTTATTGTAGGACGACAATACATCCCGAGACAATCATGGCAACCAATAACCCTCAACCCCAAATCCCCAGCACAACCATCACTGAAGTGAGTTCTCATGTTGCCCTGATGATCAACAACCGCCAAGGCACAAGGTGAAGGGCAGTCCTCAGAGACTCAGAGAGATCTGCTTCGGGCTTTTGAGGGGAGATCGCACCACCGACCAGGTTTGTTCCGTGCAGTGTCCACAGCACCGTTACCGTCGAAGGCCCTGCTGCTTTCCGGGTCTCTTGCCCGAGGAATTTCCATCCAAGCAGCCGGCCATATTCGTCCCTCTGCTCTGGGGGAGCCCCGTGCTCCAGAAGGCAACGCGCGACGTGGCGATGGCCGTAGAGGCAAGCCGAGGCCAAAGCAAGGCGGCCAAGTCCTGGCTTTCAAGGAAGAGGGTGGGCTCTAAACTTGTTGTACCTGTTTGCTGGCAGAGGCTGGATCAAAGCTGTACCGTCTATAGCGGCAGCTGTGGCAGCCGCAGCAATCTTGAGTACGAGTTGGAGTGGCAGAGCTTTCGTTACGTGCAGGCCTCGGGCTTTCTGAGTGACCTTCTGGTTTGGTTTAACTTTTTCGATGAGACCACCACAAGCCCTAAAGCGCCAAACAAGTGCCAACAAGCCCTAGTCCAAATGGCCTAAATCGCCTGTATCCGAGCCTCAACCCTAAGTATGAAATCCTGAAATACCACGAGTCCGAGACGCCCCGACTCGAAAATCCCTAGGTTTTGAGCCTCCCGCTTGGAGGTTCAGGGGTAGTTATAGTGGGGTTACAAGAAGGGTAACTATACTTATAACTGAAAACCCATACTACAGGACTTACAACCCGTTACAACCCCACCATGAGCCTCCTGGGGAACGGAGACTGATGCATCCCTTCAGGAGCAGCACGCAAACCTTCCCAGGCAGGATGGCGGACGAATTCACAGGGCCGGCTCCCCACTACATTAGGCAAAGCCCTGTACCTTATGGCTTGGAGGTTTTCGTCAAGAAAACTTTGGTCCCAACTGTTGCGGTCGCAAAACCACAGACCAGAACCGTGACGGGACCCGTCAAAGCATCCCGGAGGCTTCAATGCTCCGTGAAGGGAAAGCTCAGCCCTCTCTCTTCTTCAGCTGGCAGAACTTCTTTTGACATGACAGTACAATATAGTAGTACGGTTCCACAACAATATTGAAGTTACCCACTAGCCTCGGCGCGGCCATACCTCACCGCCGTCATCAGTGCCAGTTCCTTCTCCTCAGGTGCGGCTGCGGTCTGCGGGCGTTGAGTTTGGCGGAGTCCAAGAGACTTTCATGAAACGAGGTCTTCTTAAGATATTCAATGAGACCCGAGGGCTTGGGAAGGCCAAAAGCATGCAGCTGAACAGCCCTTCCCCAAAAGCAAGTGTCCTCCTCCGTAGCAAAGCAGAGCAGATTTTGCACCTCCATGACGTCACCTTTCAAGGGTTGGAAGCCTGTGACGGGCTTGCATGTTCCGCTGCCTGAACGGTTTAGGGTTTCGGAATATGCCGAGAAAGGCGAACAACTTCTACATGCCGTAAGTTCTGACGATACAGAGGGTTAATTACGATTCTAGTGAAGAAGAAGACAAAGCCGCAGCTACCTTCAGTGGAAGCACTAAGCAGAAGAAACGGACTCGAGATCTCCGTACCATATTCACATCCACAGCAGGAAGAAACGATGCAACGCATTCACAATAAAAAGGCACCCAACACCACTGCAAGTGGCCTCACGAGACGAAAGATGCGCTCTAAATCTCATGTGACCTCCCATCGGCAAAGCCTAAGTTCTTCCACCACAGGTAAGATTGACAAACGCAAGATTCTGTCTCCAAAGCCTGGTAAACCCAAACCCTGACAAAGCTTCAGTCACCGCATGAGTCAGGCCTTGTACAGCCGCCGCTAGAATCTTCCTGCCGATCCCGGTGGGCGCCTGCGACTGGGATTTAAGGCTTTGACAGTTAGAATATTTTGTTTGGACCCCTAAACCGAAACACTACAAACCCTAAACCCCAGAAACGATGACGATGACCCCTTGACCGCGCGACTATCTTCGCTGCTGACGCGCAGAGGATCGACTCCTTGTGGATTTCTGAAGCTTCCTTTATTGGGTATGCGAGCTCGGAGTCATAGTGATTTTCGCACAAGTCACTGGCTTGCGCACTTTCGCTCCGAGCTTAAGAAGGGTTGACTGATGTGCAGCAGGCCTGGGAAGACGTTCAACTAACTCCGTGAGGCCATCGTTAGGTCAACTCTTTTCTGCGTCCTCTTCGCAACTGAAAGGGATGTTCCAATTGCGTCTCGGCCCGTTGGTCCTCAATTGAAAATCAAAAGCCGTTGTCCCTAAACCCTAAACCCGGGAGTTGAACCCCAGGAATCATGCCAGGCTGTGCCAGGTGAGCTTTACTCCAAAGTTCCACATCCATCGCGGGACCCATGCTGTGACTGCAATAGAAAAGGTGCCGTTTACTCTGAACAACAAAGATGTGGTTAATCATGCTTAGTGCTGGGATTCCCCAAACATAAAATCTTACCACCAGATTGTTCCAGATTTCTGGCGATTTTTGAAGTACACCCTGGGCCTTGTCGTTTTCCCAAGCCGACGCTGAGCACGGGGTGTTCTGCTGGCGGCCTGATGCCAGCACACGGCGACAGCTTTTCTTCCAATTCTGAGTCTCAACCATCACTGGCTGACCAATAAGGGCGGGCTTATGGAATGTAGTCGGTCCTGCTTCTTGTGGGTATTTTTTCTCTAACATACCCAAAGAAACGACCTCATGCAGTAGTTTCATACAAAGACCCTAGCCTGCATCAACGACCAGGCTGCCATGGCTTTGGCTGCGACTCAAAGCACCTGTGTCCCAGTGCACCCTTTTGCCAGCTCCGCAACCCCAGGCAGATGAGGATCTTGATGGAGAAACGTCCAGATCAAGCTGTACGTCCAACCTGCGCACGCGGGCCGTCGTGCGGGAAGCGTGTAGTCGCCGGGCAAGGTAGGTACGGCTCCAGTTTTCATTTGCAGGCTCACAGAACGTCGTTGCAGCAGATCATTCACGATGAAAAGTCCGTGACTAGCAGCTGGCATGTGGGGCGCATTCCTTCCTGCAGACATTTCCTTTGCACTGCATGTTGTGTCCCTGTGCCTGTGCGGAAACAAACGTAGGTACGTATTTGAATTCGCGTGCTTTTGGTGCACGTGCACGTGCATGCAGATGCAGACGTGGAGGTATACCGTTGGTTTACATGTACTTGTACGCGGGCACACATGCACACAGAGGACAGGTATGTCCGTGAACTTATGCACATGCAGATGCATGTATTCCTCTGTCCCCGAAGCCCGAAATCCTAAACCACAAATCCTGTCTATCAGATCAATCGTCCCTGAACCGTATAATACTCCAAAACCCATTACCCCCCACAACTCTGGAAAACCTAAACCCACCACCTCGCCGGCTGCTGCACAGCATGCCGCTGGCGAGCCAACTCCACAGGGCTCCACCGGATCTCGCCAAGCATTGCTATCAGGTTTGGGCTTCGGGGTTTAGGGGTTTAGGGGCTTCGACGATTCGACTCTTGGTTTAGGAGTTTAGGGTTTGGTTGGAGCTATTTACAACCTGACCCCACGGCAGACTTCATCAGTTGGGCTCCGTAGCTCTGGGTAAGATTTAAGATGGGCACTGGATACCACCCGGAGACCTGAGGACACGGAGGAAGACAGCATAAGACAGCCCTTGATGCTTGGACCTGAAAACACTTTGTTTTAGGAACCCAGCGAGACCCTCAGTCACAGAGTCAATTAAACATGTCCCAGTGCATTTTACATAAGACCTTCTGACAAGTATCCGACCACCCAGCCTTGATACTAGAACACCAATGATTACAGGCTTGGCTTGGTTTGCAAAACCTTGCAAAGCCTTCCGGAAACCCAGATCTTGCAACTCTCCGAGCTTCGAGCGACGCACTGCAGGAATTCTCGTACGAGGCTCGATGCGCTTTTTGGGGTTTTGCCACAACTGCTTCGCCCAGCACGACAAATGCGCGCGGGCATGACACGGCTGCTACCGCACTATCAAGTGCCGCCTTTGCTGCAAACACCTCTTTCGACCTTTTCACCAAATAGTAGCCTCGAGGCAAGACTCGTAGATAACCCTATTCTAATATATTCTAATTACTTGGTAAGGCCTCTGCATTACACACGTAAATTCAAGTTCTTATAACTTGAGTTCTGCAGTCCAATCGCCGAAGGCTCTGTGTTGAATTCGATAGTGCAGCTGAGCCACTCGGTAGACTCCGCCCAAGTCCTGCAGGGGACTCAGGGAGCTATTTCACTGCGGCTGAGCTGCCTGTGGCAGTGCCAGGCTTGGGATGTGTCTTGCATGAAATTCAGGCCTTTCGAAGGCTTGGGCCTGGCTCCTACCAAAAACCACATGAAGCAATACACCCAAAGCCATTTAATTTGCAGAAACACCGACCTGGAGCATCAACCTCATGTGGAATGCAAGACACCAATAATCTTGTATACTGTGACGAAGATAGTCGAGTACTACAATGTTCAATACTTTTTTTCATGGCTAATACACGGTCGTGCAGACATGAACATTAAGATGAACATGTTTCGGCAACCCCGAACCCTTGGACTTTGCTGCAGGCCCACCTTCGAAGAAGCGGTAGCCGTCGTCCTGGCACTAGCGTTTCGAGCTTCAGAGCGGTTTAAGCGAACTGCTTTCAAGGCGGCTTCGACGCACACTTCTTCTCTGCTAGGTTGGGGTTTGAGGCTGACGGCCGCAGGGTGCAGGGCTGCGTCGGGCTCAGGGCTTGAGTTTTCGGGTTTAGGCAGCTGAGTGATAGGTGTCAAGGGCCTTCAGCACTGGGACATTCAGATCAGCGACCTTCGGATTACCCTGAAACCTAAACCTCGTAAGCTCCACAGCCTTCTTGCCGCTGGGAATCCTTTCAACCCTGAAACCTCAATCAAGACCAGCTACTAACTGGTGGCCACAAAACTCTAAACCCCTCGCCTGCGAGGTTTCCAGCAAATGCCTGACCCCAGTACAGCAGGAGCCGTAACAGTTAGTGTGCTTGAACATCGGACAACGAGCTCTTAAGATCTCTTAAGTACCCTTACAGTACAAAACCTGCCGTGAAGCCTGCAACTCTAACTCAGGGACCTCGTCAATCCCAAGAGAGACCTGTAATCTTGAGAAACCCTCCGACCTCGGTGATTGTGGACTACTTATCCAGGCATCCACCTGGCAAAGCATGTTCTGCGAAGGGCTTTCGGATGCAGGGCTCAAGTTCGATCTTTGGATAACAGGAAGCTGCTGCCTCGGCTTCTAGTTGTATTCGGGCCGTCGGGTTTTCTACAACTTGGAATCACCTTAAGACGGGTGCGCTGCGAACTGATGTACTCGTTCCTGAAGCACTCCAAAGCCTGTGATCATGACGCCATAAGGCAGCGACGCAAGATTGGCGTCTCGAGCCACTTTGAAGCAACGAAAGAGCTCATTCCTGCGTAACAATGGCTGTTTTGGCGTGCCTCGAGCCGGAGGTTGTTCACCTTCCGAGCCAGGCTCCGTCCTGGGGGCAGGGGACGTATGAAGCCTTGTAAGCCAGCGGACCTTCCAGGTGGGACGGGCCTGGGTTGCAGATTTGTGTATCTTTCTAAAACTTCTACGGGCACTGCACGTTGCCTCGCTAGCTTTTGTCATGTCACATAACACTCAATACCCAACTCAAGCTAACGCCTGAAAACTGAAAAAGTTTTATGGCAAGTTTTGCTTTTGTCCCAGCAGCTGCGAAGCTGTTCCCACTCAGTCAGGATAAGGCTGTCTGCTGCGTGTAGGATCCTCAGCACTGACGTCTCTCCAGGATTTGAGGCTTGAGCAGTTTACGGGTTTATGGGTTTTTCGTTGCCTGTTCATGCCTGTTCTGGGTTGTTGCAATCGATAAGTATCGAGATCGCCAAAAACAAGAATCCGACCATCGCCCAACACTGAAAGCGAAATAAGCTTGTAATTGCAAGTCTTCCAGAAATCGATTGCTGACCGCGAAGCTGAAGGCAAAGGCGGTGCAACGAAGAGATTTCTGCTGATGGCCTTTAAAACCTTACACTCTTACACCATTTTCGGCATTGAAGCCGCCAAACTCAAGACCCGACCAACATGTCAATCCAGCATGATACTCGCGAAACTGACAAATCTTGACCCAAGGTCTTCTGTCTTCCCGGTCCTTGCTGGTTTCAATGCCTTCATCTTGTACTAGTAGGGCTTATATAAGGGTTCATGAGTAAATGTTTAGATTTGGGCTTGTGGATGAAGGGCGTGAGGTTGAGCACGTGGCATCCTGACGTCCGCAGCGATTAAATCAGGCCGTGCATCGGGCAGGGCAGTGAGTTGGCTGCCTGCGGCGAGGTGGAGGCTTTTGTAGAGGTACCGAGGCCGTACGGGTGGCTGCCCGCAGTGAGCTGGAAGCTTTGCGCGCCACGAGTTGGAGGGATTGTGGAGTTGTTGAAGCCGCGCAAGCAGGCTGCCCGCAGCGAGTTGTTGAGACCATGCGCCCGCAGCGAGTTGGGGGCTTTGTGGAGGTGTTGAGGCCGTGCGGGCAGGCTGCCCGCAGCGAGTTGGAGGCTTTGTGGAGGTGTTGAGGCCATGCGGGCAGGCCGACCGCAGCGAGTTGGAGGCTTTGTGGAGGTGTTGAGGCCGTGCGGGGAAGCTGCCCGCAGCGAGTTGGAGGCTTTGTAGAGGTGTTGAGGCCGTGCGAGCAGGCTGCCCGCAGAGTTGGAGGCTTTGTGGAGGTGTTGAGGCAGTGCGGGCAGGCCGACCGCAGCGAGTTGGAGGCTTTGTGGAGGTGTTGAGGCCGTGCGGGGAGGCTGCCCGCAGCTAGTTGGAGGCTTTGTAGAGGTGTTGAGGCCGTGCGGGCAGGCTGCCCGCAGCGAGTTGGAGGCTTTGTGGAGGTGTTGAGGCCATGCGGGCAGGCCGACCGCAGCGAGTTGGAGGCTTTGTGGAGGTGTTGAGGCCGTGCGGGGAAGCTGCCCGCAGCGAGTTGGAGGCTTTGTAGAGGCTTTGTGGAGCTTTGTGGAGGTGTTCAGGTCGTGCGGGCAGGCTGCTGGAGGTGTTGAGGCCGTGCGAGTTGGAGGTGTTTAGGCCGTGCGAGCAGGCTGCCCGCAGCGAGTTGGAGGCTTTGTGGAATTGTTGAGGTTGTGCGGGCAAGCTGCCCGCAGCGAGTTGGAGGCTTTTGTGGAGGTGTTTAAGCTGTGCGGGCAGGCTGCCCACAGCAATTTGAAGGCTTTGTGGAGGTGTTTCGGCCGTGCTGGCACACTTCCCGCAGCGAGTTGCAGGCTTTGTGGAGGTGTTTAGGCCGTGCGGGGCAGGCTGCCCGCAGCCATGGATTTGTGGAGGTGTTTCGGCCGTGCGGGCTGACTTCCCGCAGCGAGTTGGAGGCTTTGTGGAGGTGTTTCGGCTGTGCGGGCAGGCTGCCCGCAGCGAGTTGGAGGCTTTGTGGAGGTGTTTCGGCCGTGCGGGCAGGCTGCCCGCAGCGAGTTGGAGGCTTTGTGGAGGTGTTTCGGCCGTGGGTTTTTCGGCCGTTCGGGCAGGCTGCCCGCAGCGAGTTGGAGGCTTTGTGGAGGTGTTTCGGCCGTGCAGGCAGGCTGCCCGCAGCGAGTTGGAGGCTTTGTGGAGGTTTTGAGGCCGTGCGGGCAGGCTGCCCGCAGCGAGTTGGAGGCTTTGTGGAGGTGAGGCTTTGTGGAGGTGCGGGCAGGCTGCCCGCAGCTAGTTGGAGGCTTTGTAGAGGTGTTGAGGCCGTGCCGGCAGCCTGCCCGCAGCGAGTTGGAGGCTTTGTGGAGGTGTTTAGGCCGCGGCGGCAGACTGCCCGCAGCGAGTTGGAGGCTTTGTGGAGGTGTTTAGGCTGTGCGGGCAGGCTGCCCGCAGCGAGTTTGAGGCTTTGTGGAGTGTTTAAGTCGTGCGGGCAGGCTGCCCGCAGCGAGTTGGAGAAGCCAAGGCCCGGAATATGGTGCGCCAAGACCACCATGTAGCCGAAGATCAGAGACGCAGCAAGAATGGAGCCCCAAGACTCCGAAGCCTTGAAAATTACATAAATATTTAATCAGAAGCTAATTGCCTTCGAAAACACGAAGTAAACAATTAAATTCAGAGGGACCCGAGCAAAAATTTATTCCCCTCAAAAAAGACCCCAACCCGCAGACCAAAATCAAATCTTGAGCTGATTGTCCGGGGTTGTAACAATGTTCAACACCCAACCCCCAACCCACCCCCTGCGGAGTATGCTCCGGAGTTCTCACGTCAATAGCTGGTCAATAGCTCATGCCGAGCAACTGCTCTTCAAGCCTGTTTGAAGTGTTCAATCGAGATGTCTTGTTCAAGACCGTGTGATTTGATTGGACACCGCATTTGTAGAGGTGTTGAGGCCGTGCGGGCAGGCTGCCTGCAGCGGGTTATAAAGGCTTTGTGGATGTGTTGAGGCCGTGCGGGCAGGCTGCCCGCAGCGAGTTGGAGGCTTTGTGGAGGTGGTTAAGCCGTGCAGGCAGGGCCCGCAGCGAGTTGGAGGCGTTGTGGAGGTGTTGAGGCCGTGCGAGCAGGCTGCCCGCAGCGAGTTGGAGGCTTTGTGGAGGTGTTTAGGCCGTGGAGCAGGCTGCCCGCAGCGAGTTGGAGGCTTTTGTGGAGGTGTTTAGGCTGTGCGGGCAGGCTGCCCACAGCAATTTGAAGGCTTTGTGGAAGTTTTTAGGCCGTGCGGGCAGGATGCCCGCAGCGAGTTGGAGGCTTTGTGGAGGTGTTTAGGCAGGCTGGTTGAGGCCGTGCGGGCAGGCTGCCCGCAGCGAGTTGAGGCTTTGTGGAGGTGTTTCGGCCGTGCGGGCAGGCTGCCCGCAGCGAGTTGGAGGCTTTGTGGAGGTGTTTCGGCCGTGCGGGCAGACTTCCCGCAGCGAGTTGGAGGCTTTGTAGAGGTGTTTAGGCCGTGCGGGCAGGCTGCCCGCAGCGAGTTGGAGGCTCTGTGGAGGTGTTTCGGCAGTGCGGGCAGACTGCCCGCAGCAAGTTGGAGGCTGTGTGGGGGTTTTTAGGCCGTGCGGGAAGGCTGCCCGCAGCGAGTTGGAGGCTTTGGAGGTGTTTCGGCCGTGCGGGCAGACTGCCCGCAGCGAGTTGGAGGCTTTGTGGAGGTGTTTAGGCCGTGCGGGCAGGCCGCCCGCAGCGAGTGAAAGCTTTGTGGAAGTGTTGAGGCCGTGCGGGCAGGCTGCCCGCAGTGAGTTGGAGGCTTTGTGGAGGTGTTTCGGCCGTGCGGGCGGACTGCCCGCAGTGAGTTGGAGGCTTTGTGGAAGTTTTTAGGCTGTGCGGGCAGGCTGCCCGCAGCGAGTTGGAGGCTCTGTGGAGGTTTTTCGGCCGTGCGGGCAGACTGCCCACAGCGAGTTGGAGGCTTTGTGGAGGTGTTTAGGCCGTGCGGGCAGCCTGCCCGCAGCGAGTTGGAGGCTTTGTGGAGGTGTTTCGGCTGTGCGGGCAGACTTCCCGCAGCGAGTTGGAGGCTTTGTGGAGGTGTTTAGGCCGTGCGGGAAAACTGCCCGCGGTGAGTTGGAGGCTTTGTGGAGGTGTTTCGGCCGCGCGGGCAGGCTGCCCGCAGCGAGTTGGAGGCTTTGTGGAGGTGTTTCGGCCGTGCGGGCAGACTTCCCGCAGCGAGTTGGAGGCTTTGTGGAGGTGTTTCGGCAGTGCGGGCAGACTTCCGCAGCGAGTTGGAGGCTTTGTGGAGGTGTTTAGGCCGTGCGGGCAGGCTGCCCGTCTTTAGGCTGTGCGGGCAGGCTGCCCGCAGCGAGTTGGAGGCTCTGTGGAGGTGTTTAGGCCGTGCGGGCTGCCCGCAGTGAGTTGGAGGCTTTGTGGAGGTGTTTGGCCGTGCGGGCAGGCTGCCCGCAGCGAGTTGGACGCAGGGGGTGTTTAGGCCGTGGGGCGCAGCGAGTTGGAGGCTTTGCGGAGGTGTTTCGGCCGTGCGGGCAGACTGCGAGTTGGAGGCTTTGAGGAGGTGTTTAGGCCGTGCGGGCAGGCTGCCCGCAGCGAGTTGGAGGCCTGTGGAGGTGTTTAGGCCGTGCGGGCTGGGCGCAGCGAGTTGGAGGCTTTGTGGAGGTGTTTCGGCCGTGCGGGCAGACTGCCCGCAGCGAGTTGGAGGCTTTGTGGAGGTGTTTAGGCCGTGCGGGCAGGCTGCCCGCAGCGAGTTGGAGGCTCTGTTTTAGGCCGTGCGGGCAGGCTGCCCGCAGCGAGTTTGACGCGGGCTGGGCGCAGCGAGTTGGAGGCTTTGTGGAGGTGTTTAAGCCGTGCTGGCAGGCTGCCCGCAGCGAGTTGGAGGCTTTGTGGAGGTGTTTCGGCCGTGCGGGTAGACTTCCCGCAGCGAGTTGGAGGCTTTGTGGAGGTGTTTAGGCCGTGCGGGCGGGCTGCCCGCAGCCAGTTGGAGGCTTTGTGGAGGTGTTTAGGCCGTGCGGGCTGCCCGCAGCGAGTTGGAGGCTCGCAGCGAGTTGGAGGCTTTGTGGAGGTGTTTAGGCGTGCGGGCAGGCTGCCCGCAGCGAGTTGGAGGCTTTGTGGAGGTGTTTCGGCCGTGCGTGCGGGCAGACTTCCGCAGCGAGTTGGAGGCTTTGTGGAGGTGTTTAGGCCGTGCGGGCAGGCTGCCCGACTCGCTGCGGCCAGCCCGCACGGCCTAAACACCTCCACAGGCCTCCAACTCGCTGCGGGCAGCCTGCCCGCACGGCCGAAACACTTCCACAAAGCCTCCAACTCGCTGCGGGAAGTCTGCCCGCACGGCCTAAGCACCTCCACAAAGCCTCCAACTCGCTGCGGGCAGCCTGCCCCACGGCCTAAGCACCTCCACAAAGCCTCCAACTCGCTGCGCCCAGCCCGCGTCCAACTCGCTGCGGGCAGCCTGCCCGCACGGCCTAAACACCTCCACAAAGCCTCCAACTCACTGCGGGCAGCCCGCACGACCTAAACACCTCCACATGCAGAGCCTCAAACTCGCTGCGGGCAGCCTGCCCGCACGGCCTAAACACCTCCACAAAGCCTCCAACTCGCTGCGGCGGGCAGGCTGCCCGCAGCGAGTTGGAGGCTCTGTTTTAGGCCGTGCGGGCAGGCTGCCCGCAGCGAGTTGGACGCAGGCTGGGCGCAGCGAGTTGGAGGCTTTGTGGAGGTGTTTAGGCCGTGCGGGCAGGCTGCCCGCAGCGAGTTGGAGGCTTTGTGGAGGTGTTTCGGCCGTGCGGGTAGACTTCCCGCAGCGAGTTGGAGGCTTTGTGGAGGTGTTTAGGCCGTGCAGGCAGGCTGCCCGCAGCCAGTTGGAGGCTTTGTGGAGGTGTTTAGGCCGTGCGGGCAGGCTGCCCGCAGCCAGTTGGAGGCTTTGTGGAGGTGTTTCGGCCGTGCGGGCAGAATTCGCGCAGCGACTTGGAGGGTTTGTGGAGGTGTTTAGGCCGTGCGGGGGGGCAGCCAGTTGGAGGCTTTGTGGGGGTGTTTCGGCCGTGCGGGCAGACTTCCCGCAGCGAGTTGGAGGCTTTGTGGGGGTGTTGGAGGTGTTTGCAGGCTGCCCGCAGCGAGTTGGAGGCTTTGTGGAGGTGTTTAGGCCGTGTGGGCAGGCTGCCTGCAGCGAGTTGGAGGCTTTGTGGAGGTGCTTAGGCCGTGCGGGCAGGGTGCCCGCAGCGAGTTGGAGGCTTTGTGGAGGTGTTTAGGCCGTGCGGGCAGGCTGCCCGCAGCGAGTTGGAGGCTTTGTGGAGGTGTTTAGGCCGTGCAGGCAGGCTGCCCGCAGCCAGTTGGAGGCTTTGTGGAGGTGTTTAGGCTGCCCGCAGCCAGTTGGAGGCTTTGTGGAGGTGTTTCGGCCGTGCGGGCAGAATTCGCGCAGCGACTTGGAGGGTTTGTGGAGGTGTTTAGGCCGTGCGGGGGGGCAGCCAGTTGGAGGCTTTGTGGGGGTGTTTCGGCCGTGCGGGCAGACTTCCCGCAGCGAGTTGGAGGCTTTGTGGGGGTGTTGGAGGTGTTTGCAGGCTGCCCGCAGCGAGTTGGAGGCTTTGTGGAGGTGTTTAGGCCGTGTGGGCAGGCTGCCTGCAGCGAGTTGGAGGCTTTGTGGAGGTGCTTAGGCCGTGCGGGCAGGGTGCCCGCAGCGAGTTGGAGGCTTTGTGGAGGTGTTTAGGCCGTGCGGGCAGGCTGCCCGCAGCGAGTTTGTTGGAGGCTTTGTGGAAGTGTTTAGGCCGTGTGGGCAGGCTGCCCGCAGCGAGTTGGAGGCTTTGTGGAGGTGCTTAGGCCGTGTGGGCAGGCTGCCCGCAGCGAGTTGGAGGCTTTGTGGAGGTGTTTAGGCCGTGCGGGCAGGCTGCCCGCAGCGAGTTGGAGGCTTTGTGGAGGTGTTTAGGCCGTGTGGGCAGGCTGCCCGAAGCGAGTTGGAGGCTTTGTGGAGGTGCTTAGGCCGTGCGGGCAGGCTGCCCGCAGCGAGTTGGAGGCTTTGGAGGTGTTTAGGCCGTGCAGGCAGGCTGCCGGCAGCGAGTTGGAGGCTTTGTGGAGGTGTTTAGGCCGTGCGGGCATGCTGCCCGCAGCGAGTTGGAGGCTTTGTGGAGGTGTTTAGGCCGTGCGGGCAGGCTGCCCGTAGCGAGTTGGAGGCTTTGTGGAGGTGTTTAGGCAGTGCGGGCAGGCTGCCCGCAGCGAGTTGGAGGCTTTGTGGAGGTGCTTAGGCCGTGCGGGCAGGCTGCCCGCAGCGAGTTGGAGGCTTTGTGGGGGTGTTTTGGTCGTGCGGGCAGGCTGCCCGCAGCGAGTTGGAGGCTTTGTGGAGGTGCTTAGGCCGTGCGGGCAGGCTGCCCGCAGCGAGTTGGAGGCTTTGTTTTGTGGAGGTGCTTAGGCACGCTGCCCGCAGCGAGTTGAGTTGGAGGCTTTGTGGAGGTGCTTAGGCCGTGTGGGCAGGCTGCCCGCAGCAATTTGAGTTGGAGGCTTTGTGGAGGTGTTTAAGCGTGCGGGCAGGCTGCCCGCAGCGAGTTGGAGGCTTTGTGGAGGTGCTTAGGCTGCCCGCAGCGAGTTGGAGGCTTTGTGGAGGTGGTCAGGCCGTGCGGGCAGGCTGCCCGCAGCATTGGAGGCTTTTTGTGGAGGTGCTTAGGCCGTGCGGGCTGCCCGCAGCCAGTTGGAGGCTTTGTGGAGGTGTTTAGGCCGTGCGGGCAGGCTGCCCGCAGCGAGTTGGAGGCTTTTTGTGGAGGTGCTTAGGCCGTGCGGGCAGGCTGCCCGCAGCAAGTTGGAGGCTTTGTGGAGGTGCTTAGGCCGTGCGGGCAGGCTGCCCGCAGCGAGTTGGAGGCTTTTTGTGGAGGTGCTTTGGCCGTGAGGGCTGCCCGCGGAGGCTTTGTGGAGGTGTTTAGGCCGTGCGGGCAGGCTGCCCGCAGCGAGTTGGAGGCTTTTTGTGGAGGTGCTGCCCGCAGCCAGTTGGAGGCTTTGTGGAGGTGTTTAGGCCGTGCGGGCAGGCTGCCCGCAGCGAGTTGGAGGCTTTTTGTGCGAGTTGGAGGCTTTTTGTGGAGGTGCTTAGGCCGTGCGGGCAGGCTGCCCGCAGCGAGTTGGAGGCTTTTTGTGGAGGTGTTTAGGCCGCGGGCAGGCTGCCCGCAGCGAGTTGGAGGCTTTTTGTGGTGGTGCTTAGGCCGTGCGGGCAGGCTGCCCGCAGCGAGTTGGAGGCTTTGTGGAGGTGTTTAGGCCGTGCGGGCAGGCTGCCCGCAGCGAGTTGGAGGCTTTTTGTGGAGGTGCTTAGCCGGCAGGCTGCCCGCAGCGAGTTGGAGGCTTTTTGTGGAGGTGCTTAGGCCGTGCGGGCAGGCTGCCCGCAGTGAGTTGGAGGCTTTTTGTGGAGGTGCTTAGGCCGTGCGGGCAGGCTGCCCGCAGCGAGTTGGGGCTTTTTGTTGCAGGTGCTTAGGCCGTGCGGGCGGCTGCCCGCCGCGTGGAGGCTTTTTGTGGAGGTGCTTATCCGTGCGGGCAGGCTGCCCGGCAGCGACTGGAGGCTTTTTGTGGAGGTGCTTGCGGGCAGGCTGGAGGCTTTTTGTGGAGGTGCTTAGGCCGTGCGGGCAGGCTGCCGGCAGCGAGTTGGAGGCTTTTTGTGGAGGTGCTTAGGCCGTGCGGGCAGGCTGCCCGCAGCGAGTTGGAGGCTTTTTGTGGAGGTGCTTAGGCCGTGCGGGCAGGCTGCCCGCAGCGAGTTGGAGGCTTTTTGTGGAGGTGCTTAGGCCGTGCGGGCAGGCTGCCCGCAGCGAGTTGGAGGCTTTTTGTGGAGGCGCTTAGGCCGTGCGGGCAGGCTGCCCGCAGCAAGTTGGAGGCTTTTTGTGGAGGTGCTTAGGCCGTGCGGGCAGGCTGCCCGCAGCGAGTTGGAGGCTTTTTGTGGAGGTGCTTAGGCCGTGCGGGCAGGCTGCCCGCAGCGAGTTGGAGGCGTTTTGTGGAGGTGCTTAGGCCGTGCGGGCAGGCTGCCCGCAGCGAGTTGGAGGCTTTTTGTGGAGGTGCTTAGGCCGTGCGGTTGTTGTGCAGGCTTCGAGGGTGTTCGCCTGGTAGGGCCGAGGGGCTCAAGCCATCACCGGTCAGAAACTTTCTCCTGCGAAGCAAGCCTTCTCCCAAACACAGAAAGCCCAACTCGCATCTTCCATTCAAAGTCATAGAGCCTTTGCTCATCGTTGCTGTTGTTGTCACAGCCCTAAGCTCTTGTCAGCTCTGCTTCCAAGCTTGGTGGGCCCCTAGCCCTTAAGTCGCGGGAGGCCAAAGCCGCAACCCCTCCCAAACTCGCAAAACCCTAAACTCCTGAACCTCACAACCACCAGCAATAAAAACCAAACAGCAGTCTTAAACACCCCGAAACCCAATAAAGCATTGAATATTAACACCATATACTCTACCTAGACCCTCCATCTACCCTCTATTAGACCCTAAATGCCCCTTATTTGGGACCATTTACCCCTATTTGAGGGTACAAGGAGGGTCCTGGTACAAGCCTATAACAACTATATTCCAAACTGAGAGAAGTCCGAGGCGCAGGATGCCCTCCTCTTCGGCTGCACGCCCGGAGAGGCGTCCACATTGCAGCTCCAGCTCCAGCCTTCGGCGCTTTGCTTGGGCTCAGAGGCGCATTATAGGCTCCATAGTAGTAAATTCCTTTTGGGGATTACTTTGAAGGATTCTAAATATGAACCACAAACAGGAACTACTGTGGGGGTCTATAGGTATAGGCTGCATTATAGTCTTGGGGGTATACCAGTTATATCATCATGCATGCTGTGCGCATTTTGGCGGTTTTAGGGGGCCTTCATAACTTAGGGTATCATCGAACTTGCATGTACAAGGGTCTCACAGACACCGGACACTTTTGGGCCTTCGCAGCTCGCATGTAAACTCCCAAAATTTCGGACATTGGGCTGGGGTGTAGAGCTGATGGAGGTTTGGTGGTGGGGCTACAGGGTCTATAGGCTTTACTTTCAGCCCTGCATGGTGCTCCAATGCGCAATTTCGGGTTGTTGAGCTTTCGTACAGTGACATTGTTCCCCGCGAAACCCGCCAAGGCTAAGGCCTTTTGGATTGCCCTCAAGCACCGGGCAATCAATCCCTTGCTCGTGGACTCGTTCAGTTTTGCACGTATCGTCGTACATGCCTTCTTGCTGTAAGTATTCAGGTCCCCAGCAGCATCCTGATTCTATTCACTGCAGCGCCCTCTCAAGGAAGAGCTTAGTGGACGATGTAAACGACCCCGCATTAAGGTGCAGAGGGTCGAGACCTGGAACGAAAGTGGCGTGGCAGTGTCTGAAAGGGTTTTGCCAAGCGTCTCTTGAAGTGTCAGGGTTTAGTTGCTGGATTTACGGCGGAGTTCATCGTGTTCAGTGGCTCGGGTTTCAAGGGGGTTTCGTTGCGGGACATTTAGGACCCTAACGCGCTGCAGCTCCTTTTTGCATCCGACCTGCAGTGCCGCTTCCCGGGAAGACTAACATCCCCGCATCGCAGACCCTGAAGTCCCGGAGCCCAGTTCTGAGCTCTGATAGTTTAAGTCGAGCCTGCACACGCGGTCCTCCAGCTCGGCGAGGATGCCACAGGAGGCCATGGGGCGCCTGGCAAGGGCCGCTCGGCTTGTGGAAGGTGTGGGTTGGCACCGGTTTGCTGCGCTGTACAAGGTTCGGTGTTCAAGGGGGTGAGGCTGAGAAAGGGCTGGTCTCTTGCACCTCCTTTGCGCCGTGGTCTGCCAAAGGCATCCCGCTGCTTTCTTCTTTCATGGAGCTTATAAGAGAGCTCCATGTCCAAACGTGGGCATATGTACGTCTTCTTCATGCTGAGCCCCGTTTCCTCAGGCTTTGTAAAGTGCTTTCGCTCCCTTTCCTTAACTGAAGGCTTGTGAACTTAGAAGATGTCTGAGACTTGAGACTTTTGTTGGCACGAAGGGCCAATTTGGAGTCGATACTCTTTCGCTCAGGGTGCCTTGGCCGAGTCTCAAGCAACTGTGGCCTCCCAGGTGGCAAAATGCCAGCTACGGTGGAGTCTTGGACGGCCACCTGTAGCCCTTGAGAGCCAAAGCAACGACGGCAAACAGTCTCAGGTCAAATTCCCCTGGTGAGTCCTTCCGAACCACAGAAGGCAAGGGAGTATTCACGACTCAGGGTTTGCATTTCGGGGACTTTGGGTCAACGTTTATAGAACCAGGTGAGCATCACACCGACGAGGAACTTCGAATATGGCCGATTCTTGAGGCCTTGTGCGCGCAGTAAATCCCAGGAAACTTCTTTCGAAGCATCCAGATAACACCTTGGACCTTGAACGCTACCAGATCCACCTACCTCCAAACAAAGCAAGCCTCGCTCGCGATCTCTGAATCACAGATTTCATGCTTCAAGTTTTGCATCCGCCCCGCACGTCGGCGAAGTTGGCATCCGACACGAATGGCTTGCTGGTAGCTCGCCATTGACATGATGACAAGCACATGGCAAGTCGTCATAAGAAATACTAACGCGATCAATCAGAGGTCCTACATCTACTCGGAGGGAAGTTGCTTCCCACAGCAGGGCCCGGAGACAGCAGAACTCAGCCAGTTGCGACTCGCAGCAATCCATATGGGATCAGCTTGCCTAACACAGAGGCTGGTTAGGGTTTTGTGGGTGATGATGAGTCATGCGGCTCCCAACTGACCTTCGTGGGTGGCACATGATGCGACCTCGAAGCCTCGGTGTACTTGTGGCCGACACGAAACTTTCCAAAACTCGTAAGCCAAACCGTTTTCTGCAGAGGGTGGCACATCCGTGAAACGGCTGAAGACTAATTTTGAAACCAGAATGATCAGACGCAACGGCTATCCCATCAACTTGAATAGCCAGGCTGCGCCTTAGACCAAAGCCCCCAAGTCCACAAAGCTTATGAGCCCTCTGAGCCGTGCAGACCCTAAAACCCTAAACCAAAACCCAGACCCCAAACCAAAAAACCCAAAAGGAGCCTGGGATCAGCACCAGAGCAGCGATGAAGAGGGCCAGTACCGCTAGTGCCGCCAGCTGCGGCGAGGCTGCTGGCTCATCATCCTCGGTTTCCAATGTGGGTTCGGCTCACCATATATCATGAAAATAATCGATCTATCTATCTCTCTCTATCACGCCGTGATCCCACCATTGGGCTTCACCATTGGGCACAGGCTTGAGCGCTGCACTAAGCGCCAACCGCCCTGCATGTTAAGCAGACTCTAAAGCCTTTAGGGTTGTAGTAGGGTGCTGCACTAAGCGCCAACCGCGACTCTACGGCCTTTATGGTATTAGTACTTACGGTAGTGCTGTGGAGGCATTGCAGACGACTGCGTGAACAAATGCATCTCTGAGGGGCAAAGTCTTCGCGCGGCGGCAGCGGCGATTCCCTACGGTGGGTGGTTGACGGAGAAGAAGTTCAAGGTTTCAGATTCGACCCACAAGCTGTACGATAAACTCCCTGAGGCTTTGCAGTATAGGGTTCACGATTTGAGGGATCCAATCATGAAGACTGAACCTTCACTTCACCGCCCTGCCTCGTCGCCGCCAAGAAGGAGACCCCCCAGGCAAAAAGCGCTGAGCTGCAAACGGCCGCATTGGCGTTGGGACCCAAGCGCCCGACTGCGCCGAGCAGAAGCACCACCCCAGTGCCTAGCCTCGGGTAGGGCTTAGAGTCGTTCAGAGTTTTGCAATGCAGTGCAGGAGTCAGCCAGCATTCAATGGCTGTTTCTTTGTTGACGCATTCCGCTGTGGTCTTCCCACGAAGGCATGGTGAGGTTGCCCATGCTAGGTCCGGTTCGTGAGGGGGTCTGACTGCAGCATCTGAGGTACAGGCTCAAGCAGCTGGATCGGACGCGGCCCAAACAAGAACCTGGCGATCACAGCCGAATACTTCACGTAGGGGCCTGAAAAATTAGAACAGGGTTTTGGGGCCCATTACACTGTACTTATAACAAGGAACCCCCAAAATAGTCTAGGTATTATCAAGGCCCCTAAAATAACATGCTTCCTTCTAGGTGCGGGTGTGAAGACAAGCCGGTGCGCCTGGCCAGCAGGTGCCCATCGAGGCCCCGAAGAGGAAGGAGTCGAACTGCCTCTTTCAAGGCTTCCTTTAAAGGATCTATAAGGGTTCCTTTAAAGGTTTATAGAGTTTAAGGTTTAAGTTACCATATCATAATAAGGAGGCTTCTCAGTGCGGCTTGGGTTTCGGGGCTGGGTGTTCGATTCAGCTTCTGGGCGGTTTTAAGCCCTGAGTTGGAGTGCGAGTTGTGTCTCTGACGGCTTATGCGATGCATTCGTTACAACACGGAAGCGTGGCATCTCCAGGGTCCACCAAAGATTAGGCTTGTATGCAAGCTCGCAGTCCTCCCGCTTCTGAAACCGAAAGACATGCATTCAAATTTGCCAAAATTATTTGGCTTGCTCGATCGGTGGCCCCACGACAACCAAGCCCTAACTAACCATCCATACAACTTGCAATGACGTCCTTCTAGCTTTGAAACCACAAGCACAAAGCCCCTCTTCTCGTAATGGGCGTAGGATGCGTACAAAGTATAGCTGATCGTTCACTGAACTCCTCGAATACCAAAGCACTCGGAAGCCTACCTGGGTGGTGAGAGCCAGACAGCCGCTGAAGAGAAGCGGATCGAGCCTTCAGCACGGCGATCGGAGCCATAAGTCAACAACTCTAGTAACGTAGACCCCGGATTCACAAAACACTCTTCGCTTGTGAAGTATCGGATCATAATAAGGGCGGCAAAGAAAAAGGTGGTGGATCAGGGTCTACATCATGAAACCCAAGCATCCTACAAGGCCAAGCAAAATGAACTCTAGTCCGGGCTAGAGGGGACCTAAAGGGGTGCCAAAAACTATATGTTCGAAGCATGTAGAGGGGCTTCAGAATCCGGGTCTGCCTAAATCCTGAACACCTCAACTCTACGCCGGTTTCTCATGATTAGTTTCATGTTCCCCTGTGTGCCCGAGTCGTTCTCTCTGCAACGGACCTTTTCCACACCGGTTTGAGGTTTCGGGGTTTAGGGCCTTTAAGGGTCAAGAATCAACTAAGGGGTTCAGGGCCTTTAAGGGTCAATAGACAAAAAGGGTTTAGGACCTTCCTGTGCCGTACGCACGCTGCAATCCGAAGAAGCATGAGGATCGCAATCAGCAGCAATGCACAAACAAAGTTGCCAGAGCACTGAGACATCACAGTCGGAAGCTGGCATTGATGATTCAAAGTCGTAATCCCGTATCCACAGGCTCAAGAACTACGGGCACAAGCGCTTGAGCAACATCGTTGCTGCGTATAGTTGTACTGTATTCAGAAGACATGCTGGAGACCCTCAAAAGCAGATTGATACCAGATATGCAATAATGCATTGCGCATTGCAAGAACCAGGGTATCCCGGAGATGGATGTATGCCAGGAAGCGGCATCCGAGACACTTGAAACGCAAAGCTCTAAATCCCTTCTGCAGCAGGCTTCTCTCGCGCGGAACAGCTATCGCCAGCTCTAAATCCCTAAACCCTGAACCCTGCAATCTAAATCGTCGCTGGGGCACGGTACCCTGGCTGGGACGCTTGGTGCAGCCTCACCACTGCCGAGGCCCAGCACTGTCTGCGCTGCATCTGCCAAGGCTGTGCCGCGTAAATGAACTATTCTCGAGTGTGCTGGAAAAGTTAAGAGGCCTGGGAGGCACTTAATGCTCTATCGGGATCTCGGAAGGTCTTCTTGCCCAGGTTTTCAAGGAAGTATTGACTGTAGTCACCTCTATATAGCCACGACATCACATGAAGTACAACTCTCTCGGACTTGTCTCAGATTCTTCTGCGGCTTCAAAGCTCCTGAAAATCTCCATGTACCCTTGAACCAGAAGCTTGATTTACGGTAACCTGCCCGAGCCCTAGATGTCTTTGGCCACAACACCATGTTGGGTTTGATCTGCAGCTGGCGGCAGGTTTAGCTTGAGGCGGCCTAGCAAAGATGCATGGAAACCTTGAACTCGTGGCTTTGGGTTTAGTGTCATCGCGAGGCCCATAACGAACCGCAAATCTTGCCGATATTGCTGCACTCAACTGAGATGGACGAGAACTTGTGCTGAAGCCCAGAAGGAACTCTCGAAGCCTCAAAACGACAGCGCACGCCTGCAGGGAAAGAATCGCCCAATAATTGCGCCAGCAGCAGCGGAAGGCGAGTCACCTTACATCTTTGACTCGTCGTTTGGCCCATGCTCACACGGAGTCCGTTAGGTTTGTTGAAGAGCTGGGAGCTCAGAAACAGCTTCAAGAAAGCCATTCCAGTTCAAGCTAAGTGAGGGCCAACCTGTGAACCTCTGTAACAACCTTGATATCGTTGTAGCCAGATGTCGGAGTTTCAGAAAATCAGGACATCCCAGGTATAGACCCACCATAGCAAAGGTACCGTTGAGTTTAAGAAACCCCGCTAGCTCTACGATAGCAACCTCTAAAACCCTGGCAGAGCCCCTATGCTCAACGCAAATGCAGGTGCGCTGCGTCCACCTTCAGCAGGCCATCGGAGGCATCGCCCATGAGAATGCCTACCAGGCAGAGCAGCAAGGCGGCAGCGAAGCCGGCGTAGATTCCGCCCAGAGCAACCTTGCCGAAACGGGCCAGAAGTCGGAGTGGGAAGTCGGAGTGCTAGGATTGAGGCTTTGGGTTCAGTTTGGTGAAGGGTAATTCCCTTGGAAAGCACTTTCCAACACCCGCATTAAAAAAGACAAAAACACCTCACAAAGCTCTTGGCTCGAAAAAGATCTAAATTTGTGTACAACCCTTGTACCACCCTAAAGCCAGCCATGGTCCCTGCCTGGATTTGGACCTTACGCGAGGGCGCTAACCTCGGCCATGCCGGCTGTGCGACGGGAGGCAAAGCCCTTAAACATATCTTCTGGTGTTTTAAAATTCCTCTGGCTTCAGGGTATGTAGGGTTGGGGCTTGGCGCGCCGGACCTGTGGCAGGGCAAGAATCAAAGAAAGCCTTGGTTTTGGGTTTGGGCTTCAGCTGTCTGTAGAGCTTTAGAACAGGCCCTGTAAATGCATGCAAAAACCGACAATGAAACCAACAAAAACACTACCCCATCACTTGGCCGCGGGCCCCTTGATCGTCCAGGTGCGCCCGACAGTGCCAAGGGCCGACGATGGGATGAAGTAGCCACCCTGGACCTCACAGGGTTGACCCTGCACGGGATGTTATGACCAGACTCAGCACTAGCCCAAGCCTAAAGTAATACATTTCTGCAATTCCCCTACATATAAAGTCGGACTGGTCGGTGGCCTCGACGCCAAACTGATCCGCCACCAAGCCACGCCCTAAGCCCTGGGCGAAGAGCATCAGAACCAGGCCCACGCCCACTGGCCCAACACCATCCGGATCCAAGCGGGTGACCGCCACCCCGAGGAGGGGACTGTAGGTCACCTCTTCTACGGAGCGGCCCACAAGGATGTCGCTACCTTCGCGTGCAGAAGCGGCAGCTAGAGATAGTTCAAACTCTACGGACTATACTACGTATATCTACACATATGTATATGCATGTGTATATATATATATATATATATATATATATATACACATATGCGTATCGATACGTATATACATTGATGATGCTGATTTTTCTGTGTTTACATCGGCCAGAGAAAGACTGCGAGGAAGGAAGCTGAAAATGACCTAAACCGTAAATCCTCAACCCTGACCCTTTTTGAACGAGGGATCTCTGCCCTAACCCTAAACCCTGCAAGCCCTAACCCCTGGACCCTAAAGCAAAAAGTATCTCAGCCGAGTCGCCTTGGCCCTCTAAGAAGCCTACGGCAGCTGAGATGATGTTGCAGAAGACCAAGGTGGCCACGAAAGAGGCGCCGACCGCAAATCGCCTTCTTGCTTCAGCTGTGTCTCGGCTCTACCACTCGATCTGATGTATGCCTGTAGCCGAAAAGACCTACCTTTTCAGGGTTCCTTGTTATGGTTTCTATATATAGGCCTTTGTAAGATTTTAAGATTTACCACTCCATATGATGTGTAGGTTTGTATTAAGGATCTGGTCAGTATGTACAAGGCTCTTCCGGATCATCTGGCGAAGCCGCTTTACACAGGCGAAGAAGCAGTTGAGAATTCACCTTCGGACTCTGCGGCAATCCGTTCTGTCAAGTTCCAAAAGGGATGTCGACATCGCTACAGATCGCTCTCATGCTGCATGGGTTCACGCGGAACTCAACTCCAGCTTACAGCCACACATATTCAGCCGGTGACCAAGGTATCTTAATCCCCGACACCCCGAAGCCTCAACCCACGCGAAACCCTCGAGCAGGAATGTGCCTGAAGCTGTCCTTGCCGGATGGTATGGGCAAGTCCGATGTGCGAAAGACGAGCAGCGCCGCCGGCAGTTCCTGCGAAGGAGCAGGAGTTGGCCCTTGAAAGAAGGGCCATTTTGCTGGACAGCCGATAGCAAACAAACTTCCAGAAAATCTACCCAGGCCTTGTCAGACGGGCTCCACACTTTCACGGGATCGAACTGACCTGCCGAGGGGCAAGAGTTGGATCTTTCGGGATATCTTGGTAGCCTTTGGACTGCCTTCAAGGTTGCGACTGCCCCGCCTGAAGCAACTCAAGGGAGGCATCCAAGGGTCTTAATAGCTTCTTGCTTGAAAGCATGATGAAGAGGTCTGACGCATCTAGAACCACCGTGACTCGCCACAACTTGTGCCATGATCGGAGAACAGACAAACGCAGAAGCCGTAGATCTCCGCCAATTTGACAAGAGCACCGAGCACACGAAACAGGCAACTACATCAGCCCTGTCGTCGTATACAAGAGGAGGGAATGGTAAGTAGAGGCCCTTACGCTCCAATCAAGACTCTCCTGGAAGTCCCACGGGTCATAAAAGCTGGATTTAAACTACTCCAAAATCCCAGGCCAATCAGCCTGTAGCACCTATATAATGAGATCGTAATCTGCAACCACCTCTGCAAGGCCGCGAGCAAAAGTACTAAACAGCTGTTCAGCTCTATAAACACTCTTAAGCAACCTGCGAGCAACCCATGCAAAATATACTAAGCGCTCTAGAAGCCCATAGAAACCCCAAACCCGGAGCCTTCATAGAAATCTCTAGAAACCCTGGAGAAGCCTTATAGCAACATATAGAAGCCCCACAACAGGACCTTTGGGCCACAGGCTGAGACCGGGAGCAGGCGGAGGGCGCTCCCTCTGCAGGAAGACCTCGCGAAAACATTGGGTTTAAGGGTTCAGGGGCTTAGAGTTTCGAGCTTAGGAGGTTTTCCGAGATGTTCGGATTTGGGGCCTTCGTGTTTGGTGGGAGATAAGGTCTTGGGTCGAGGGGCTGGGGAGGTTAGGGTTTAGACAGTTGTGGGGGTGCGGTTAGAGGTGGGTTCTGCCAGGCTTTTCAAAGACTCCGGCCTTCGGGAGATACTTTAGGGCTTTGTGTTCGCACTTCCGATTTGAATGTC